GCTTGCGCATATTTGAGTTTGTTTCTTATTCATAGCATTCCTTTCCCAATGCTCTCAAACTTCCAAGAGAGCAAGTGGCATAAATATATTCCCTACCTAATATGTGACAACCATTATCAGACACTGTGGTATGGCTTGGAGACATTATGATGGTCGTCACGTGCCTGCCTTAATGAACATTACAGCTCTATGAGGAAGCAGGTATTAATCTAGTAGTCACATGGTGAATAAAATGACAAATGAGACATAAGTTTTAAAGGTTTTATGATGTGCTTTTTAAAAAATCTCTAGTAGATCAAGATCTATCTAGTGGTTTGTCTTTTTTGTGTTTCCCTTGGTATTTTTTAAAAATAAGAACTTTAATATTAACTTGTCTAAGTACATAAAAGTTTGTTGGCATTTTTGTTGGGATCACATTAAAATTTTAAAATAAAATAGGAAAAACTGATGTCTTAATAATAGGAAGTGATTCTATCCCAAGTCTTTCTATTTGTTAAGCCTAATTTATATTTTTTAGGGTGCTTTTAAAGTTTTCTACATGTAGACTTTGCACATTTGTTACACTTAATCGTATGTCAATTTCTTCATTGATATTGTAAATAAGGCTTTCTCTAACAGTTGGTTCTGTAATACATTTGTTTACATTTATGAAGACATTTAATTTACTTGTGTCAATTTAAAATTCTTTCAGTTTTAAAATATTTGATTTGGTTTTAACAATGAATCCATGACTTTTGAAGCAGATTGTTTTACTGCTTTTATTTCCTTACCAATTCTTTTTTCTTTCTTTCTTTCTTCTTCTTTTTTTTTTTTTGTTGGTCGTGGGACTTGAACTCTGGGCCTGGTTGCTGTCCCTGAGCTCTTCAGCTCAAGGCACATGCTCTACCTCTTAAGCCACAGCACCCTTCCAGTTTTCTGAGTGGTTTATTGGAGATAAAGAGTCTCACAGACTTTCCTGCCCGGGCTGGCTTTGAACCAAGATCCTCAGATCTCAGCCTCCTGAGTAGCTTGGATTACAGGCGTGAGCCATGGGTGCCCAGCTCTTACCAATTCTTGTATCTTTGCTCCAAGGAAGCAGCAAACTCTTATGTAAGGGCCTGACAGCAATTTATTTTAGTCTTTGTCTCTATTATTAAACCATACACATTAAACCAATAGGTATGGCTATGTTTCAATAAAATTTTATGTACAAAACAGGCAGCAAGCTGCTTAAATTTGGCATGTAGGTGAGTTTGCCAGCCCTTATTAGATGATTCGTGCAGTCAGTTACTACCTCTAGAATAGTGATGAAAAGTAGCTGAAACAATGGCTGCCAACATGGAAATGCTCCATTTAGAAAAACATCAGCATTAGGATTAAGTTATGTGTGTGTGTATATATATATATATATATGTTTAGTAGTATTCTCCAGTTTCTTTTTTCTTGAGTGCTTTCATCAGGGACAGAAATTGAATTTAATCAAAGGTATTTTCCACATCCATAGAAATAATGCAAATTTTTATGGGCTGGGAAGGTGGCTCAGTAGTAGAGTGCTTGCCTTGCATGCATGAGGCCCTGGGTTCAATTCCTCAGCACACATATGTAGAAAAAGCCGGAAGTGGCACTGTGGCTCAAGTGGTAGAGCACTCATTAGCCTTGAGCTGAGGAGCTCAGGGACAGCAAATTTTTTTTATACTTCAGATTTATTTTCATTCATTACAGCTCATATGTATAGTCTTGACAGTCTTTAGCAAAAAATTCTTAAACGAGCCCCGTGTTTGTAATATATAATAAAACTTTTTTTTTTTTAATCTGGTCGTGGGGCCTGAACTCTGGGCCTGGACGCTGTCCCTCAGCTCTTCAGTGCTGAGGAATCAAACCCAGGGCCTCATGCTTGCAAAGCAAGCACTCTACCAATGAGCCACCTTCCCAGCCCCTATAATAATACATTTTTAACAATATAAGGATGAAGAGTACAATTTACACGATAGAAATATACCTTAAGTTGTATGCAGATAGTAATAATGACTCTTGCTGACAAAGGAAAAATTTACAAACTTATTTTCTGATATTTTCACGAGTATTTATGAGTGATATTGGGATATTTCTGTACTGTGAGAAGTCCTTCCTTGTTTTTGATGATTTGGAATATTTTCCAGAACATTAGAAATATCTGATCTTTGAAGGTTTGGTAGGATTTATAGAACTATCTGAATTAGATGCTTTATTGCACAGATCATTTTGTATAAAATTTGCATGCTGCAGATTTCTAAGTCTAGTACTAGCCATTTGTGGTAATAGGTGTTTACCTAGGACATTATTTAACTTACAAAGCAACCAAAAAAGTAGTTTCATGATTTAAAATTCCTCCATGGTTAAGTGGTTTGTTGCCTGTTTGTGTAAATGGACTTTTATTGGACACATCCATGCCCATTCATATCTGTCTATGCTACAGTAACAGCTGACTACTGTAAGCCTATATTATTTGTGGATTTATTACATTCAGTTGTGGCCAAGCATGGTCCAAAAAACAAGATTTTTTTTTAATCAAAAGAAAAAAGCCAGGTGCCAGTAGCTCACATTGCTAATCTAACTACTTTGAGGCTGAGAATAGGAGGGTCGTAGTTCAAGGCCAGCCAAGACACAAAAGTTCATGAGATCTCTTCTATAACCATAGCTGAGTTGTGTGTACCTGTAATCCCAAGCTCCCTGGGAAGTTGAGAACTAGAGAATTGTAGATCCTGGGCAGAAAATGATCACAAGACTCCATTTTCATGCAGGGAAGCTGGACCCATGGAGTGGTTTTAGCTATGTTGGGAAGCAAGACCCTCTCCTGAAAATAACCAGTAGAAAGCAGGGCTGGAGGCATAGCTCAGCCTTAGTGCTGCCAAATTTAAAAAAATTATAAATTTCTATACAGGTATTATACAACTCAGTTGCTGTGAGCTTATTTCAATCAATCTAGTGTTATTACCAACTGTGTTCAATCACTGTATGATATGCTGAGTGTTTCCCTGCCCTTTATTTTGTGAGAATATCTCTGCAAAAGACTCAGACATGAAGGCTTATGGTAGAATTATTCATAATAGCCTCCAAATGGAAATGTATATAAAATTTTTCTAGAAACAGCAAGCAGAGTGGTTGTCTTAGGTTGGAGTAGAGAGTAAAATTAGGCACATGGAAATACTTGTGTGGAAATGTTACAAAACTGAACTGAGGTGATTTTCATATAACTTTCTAAGCTTATCAAGTACCATTATAGATGAATTTTACAGTTCATGCAAGATACACCTCACTAAAATTGTTTTTAATGAAGTAAAATGTAAAAATGGCTAAGGATAATATTGGTTGCCTATGTTTCTAACTCCCAATATTTCTATAAATAATACAGAACATAACTAAAGGGAGGGATGAGGGACTGGGGTATGGCTCAAATGGTACAGTACTTGACTAACAGGCATGAGGCCCCAAGTTCTATCTCTAGTACTACAAAAAGAAAAAAATGATTAAGAAGAAATGAAATGCTTGGCAACTACGCTCAGCATGAGTTGAAGAAAATGTCCCAAATTCAAAATAATTATAAATAGGATGGAAAACCCCCCTCCAAATTGAAAAGTTGAGTCCATCTAGGAAAAAAAACACCAAAAATGTGAGGTCATATAGCTTCATCAGGAAATTGTGGAGCACTTAATTAGCCCCTCTGGCTCTCTTCTTTCTGTCTGTTAAATTTTTGACTAGCTGTCATTCAGCCACTTGCTCAATCAGGAGATTAGAATTGTTGCTCTCCTTGGTCATTTCCTATTAACTTTGTCACTAATTTCACTGGCAGTGAGTTTGATGCTTTTATTGACCATAGTGGCAAGCAAGGTTTTTTCCACACTCAGCCCCAAATTCAGTCAGCTGTTGGCTTTCACAACCAATCTTAACTGGTAGAAGAACTAGCTTAAGCTTGGGAGGAAGATAAGAACTGCCTTCAGCAGGATTCTCATAGACTCTAGTTTATTTCTAGAAATTGAGCAGTTTTTCTAACCAATAAATGCTTCTCTATTGGTTGCTTGCCTTTGCTTTCCAGGGCCCAGAACGGAGAGGGTTTGTACAGTTTTATAATAGTTTCCTGGAGAGAGGATCTAAATAAACACTCATACTTGGAAATGCTGATCCTCTTTACTGTTAATTTATGTGATTTGAAGCATTTTTTTCTCAAGAACATTATAAAAATATGTGTATAATAGATACACATGAATTTTAAATCCAGCCTTTCCACAATTAGTATATATGATTAGGATCATCTGTAAAATATAATCTGTCAAGTTTGAACCACTGTTTTCATAAGTTTTGTTGTAACATAACTATTCTAACTCACTTGCCCATTCTTGTCCATGACTACTTTCATACTAAAACAGCAGGATTGAGTAGTCACTAAAAAGTTCACGTGGCTCACAAAGCCTAGTAAGACTTATTATCTTGTACATTACACTATGTTTGAGCATTATTATATCTTAGTTAATGTTATAATGATCGTAACAAATAAGACTATTTCTGAAAATAGTGCTGTAATTATCACTCTACATAACAATCATGTATTAATTTCATATCCATTTTTTCTTAACCTCATGTGGCAAGACGGGCCTTTAAATTTTCTTTTATCAGATTTCAAAATGAATAGGAAACATATTTAAGTTATATATCCTAAAAATTAATAATAATTTGTTTAAGGTAGTCTAACAGTCCTAGAATTTAACAGGGAAATATAACTAGACTATAACAAATATTAGAGTAATTTCTAGAAGAACATTCATTTTAACAGTACTCTTTTTATGTTCAGTTCTGCTTGCATTAAGCCTGCTCTGGCATTACCTAACTACTGCAAAGTCTTAGCCAGGAGAAAAATGCATATTTTTTCCTTGGCATTTTCAAATATTCTTGCTTAGCTATTAGTTTTTAGTTGAGCATGGTATTTAAAGTATTGAATACGAAGTACTTCCTTTTATGGAATAAATTTTCAATTCAACATAGCTTACCTGTTAGAAGAACCATTCAGTGTTTTTTGCTGAATAATATGTCTGTGGACAGATCCAAAGGAAGGAAGATCATCTGGAAGTGATTCTTCCCCTTGAGGAACTAAAGACAGTCCAACAAAAGCGTCACTTAGCATATCCCCTCTGTCCAAAGGCCCCAAGAGTTCTGTAAAAAATGATTAAGACAGGGATCAAATACAATTTCAGCTAACTCCTACATATGTTACGATTACAGAAAAACTTCACAGATCCCAATGGAATTCTTCCTTTATCTTGTCAATGTGCTATGTAGCACACAATTAAAATAATGAAACTCCCAGTCCCTCATGACTTCAGTCATTTTTATACTAACTTCAACAAAATAGTTGATAACATCATGATTTCAGATTCAGATTTTTAAAAATTCATTTATACTTTTGCCTATTCATAATGCTTTTGTAAGCACTTTATTAACCAAATCTTTTTATACTGTCACACAATTTATTTCTGGAATATTGTAGAAGTCAATTTTACTCTTCTGTATTACACACACTTTGAAGAGGAAAAGCTGTTGCTCAATATTTTTCAACTACTGTTAATTAGTGTTCGGGATAAAACCAGGACTATGCACACTGTAGGCAAATCACAATCACTGCTTTCAACTAGCATTATCAAGTGTATATAGAGGGGTATATTTCCATATCATACAGATGTAAGCTGTAGAGACACCTTAGCCACTTTGACAGGTAAATGCTTTAAAAAGTTGTTTGAAATAGAGATTATAAAAATATGTATATATTGTCAGAAATACAAAGCTTCTTAAAAATCCAAGAAGGCTGTGGACCACAATATCTGTCAGTTTAATAACTGTAGCAAGAAAACCACAGAACTTAATTTTTGCCATCCCTAATTTCAAATGTACAGTTCACTACTGTTAAATATATTCATTGTCGTGCAGCATGTCTAGAACACTTTCATCTTGCAAAACTGAAACTGCATCTATTAACAATTAATCATTCCTCCTTTTTTTCCAACTATGAACATACAATTTATTATAGGAGATATGACATAACAAGCTAGAAGAAAATATTAATATTTGACACAACAGAATGTGTGAGGGTTGGACAGCAATGCTAACAGATACATAATTGCACATATTAAAAAACATTCCTCCTCCTTGCTGCCTCTAATAACCACCATTTTATTTTCTGTTTATATAAACATGATAAATTTAGATACTTTGTATAAAAAATGTCTTTGTTTTGTGACTGGCTTATTTCACTAAATATAATGTCTTCCCTCAGTTTTATCCACATCATACTATGTGATAGGATTTAGAACTGAAGGCAGACTAATATTACATTGTATATATTACACATAAATACTACATTTTCTTTATCCATTTACTTATATATGGACATTTCAGTTGCTTCTGCCACCTGGGTATTATGAACTATGAACATGATTGTACAATTATCTACTTAAGAGTCTGCTCTAAGTTCTTTTGAATATAACCTAGTAAGTGGAATTGATTATGTGAAATTCTATTTTCTATAGTTTCTCTTTTATTCTGCTATGATCTGATAAGTTATTTAAATTTCCTTATAATTGCTAAGACTTGCATAATGTCTTGAAATATGGTCTATGTTGTAGACCTTTCCATGGGCTTCTGAGAAGAATGCTTATGCTGAAGCTGTTTGGAATATACTGTAGATGTCTATTAAATCCATTTGCTGTATAGTGTTGTTTATTTCTGATGTTCCTTGTTGATTTTGGAGGTGTGTGTGGACCTAGATGACTAATCTATTGTTGAGACTAGGGGTACTAACATAACCAACTATGTTGGAGTCTACTGTGCTCTTCTTTCTAGTAGTATTAATTCTCTGGCACTGGGTGCTTTGAAGTTGCATGTATATATATTTACAGATACATGCTGTATCAGTATGATGGATTGCTCTCTTAAACATTATGAATTAACTCTCTTGGTCCCTTCTGACTAATTTTGTTTTGTCAGATATGAGTATATAAGCTTTTGGGCTCCATTTGCATGGTAAATCCTTTTCATCCTTTCTTTTTAACTTGTGTTTGTCTTTACTAGTGAGGTCCATTTCTTCCATTTCTTATAGGCAACAAACAGTTGGGTTTTGTTTTTTAATCTAATCCATTAGTTTGTGTTGTTTGAAAAGTTGAGAGCATTAACACCCAGAATTATTATTAAAAATTATGCAGTATTCCCTAGTATTTGGTTGTTTTGAAGTGTTCGATTCTTTCCTGCTCTTCATTTGTCTTTCCTGTTTGTTTGTTTTTTTGTCCGGTTGTGGGGCCTGAACTCTGGGCCTAGGCGCTGTCCCTCAGCTCTTCAGCTCAAGGCTAGCGCTCTACTGCTTGAGCCACAACGCCACTTCCGGCGTTTTTCTTTTTGCTTATGTGGTGCTGAGGAATCGAACCCAGGGCCTCAGGCATGCAAGGCAAGCACTCTACCACTGAGCCACCTTCCCAGCCCCTCTTTCCTGTATTTTTATAGATGCATTTATCTTTCTTTTCTGGTCTTGTCTATCTGATATTCTAAAACCCTCCTGTATCTGGATGACTATTTCTCTTGAAAAATTTTCTGGTATGTTTTTGAGTATGTTTTTTATGTCTTTAGAGTACACCTTTTTTTTCTATGCCTTGACTTGCAGGTTTAAACTTCAGTTTTCCTTGTCAGTTGTGGAGCTTGAACTCAAAGCCTGGATGCTGTCCCTGAGCCTTTTTGTGCTCAATGCAAGTGCTCTACCTCTTGAGCCACAGTGCCATTATTGGTTTTTGAGTGGTTAATTGGAGATAAGTGTCCCATGGGGACTTTCCTGCCCTGGCTGGCTTCAAACCACGATCTTCATAGCTCAATCTCTTGAATTACAGGCATGAACACCCAGCATCTGGCTTAGGTTTAGACTTTTAATGGTGTCTCAGAGGTCTTCTGTGTTCCAGTAGTATTTTTAAAAATTACTTCTTTTTTATATGAATGTACTAATATATCCACCTATCTCAAATACAGATTTTTTTTTTATCTAGTCTGCTGGGGACACATTCAACTGAGTTTTTGTTGTTGTTGTTGTTTTTGCACAAGGCCTATTGCTTTGCTTCATTGGTTGATGCTCTGCTCACTTGATCTATACCTCTAGTCTAGCATTTTGCTGGTTAGTTTGGGGATAGGACTTTTCTACCTGTGTTGGTTTTAAATCTCATTCTTCAGATCTCAGCCTCCTGACTAAGTAGGATTTAGGTGTTAGGCACTGGTGCCTGGCTCAGCTTTTTATCTGAAGAATCTCAGTTTGTTTTCTTCTTCAGAATTTCTATGTTTTTAAAATTACTGTATTATGTCTTGCATTATCTTTCTTTCATTTGTAGATTTTTGTGTTTATTCAGTTATATATCCAAGCTCATTTAAAATTTGTTGATTTTTAAAAAATTATTTGTGATTTCATCTACTTCAATATTGTTAGTGTTTGGTAGGTTTAGGTATCCTTAGTGTTGTTTTCACAGAAGAGTCTATAATCTTGTTTTCTTGTATTTCTTGTGTTTCTGCAATTCAGATTTGTGTAACTGAGGCCAAATTGTTGGTTGTTAGTCTTTCAGTTGATATAGTCTTAGTTTCGGACAGGACTCTATAGTAGAAGGTTGACATACTATTTCTCACCACCGGACTTGGGGTATGGCACAATAGTTAAGTACTCATTGATATAGTCAGGGTAACATACTTGATCCAAAGCACTGCTCACATCAAGGAAAACTAACAGAGTCTGTTGTAGAAGGGCTGGCTGTCTGTTTCTGGCATGTTTTCATTATAGTAGCTTGTCTTCATTGTGCACTTGGAGACACAGCTGGCTAAGACACAGGGCTCTCTGTCTCACTTGGCAGCAAACGCATTACAGTTCCTGGAAGTGGTTCTTAGTGCTTTCAGGCTATGTCCTGCAAGTCATCTCCCTATGGGAGTCAGGAGGCTGTAGAAACCATCTGATGTGAAAGGTTTGGGCTTGGAGCTCTCAATCCCACCTGGCAGCTAACACGTGCAATTCAGTTCCCAGAGGCAGGTTTTAGTGTTTTTAGACTATGCCCAGCAGTCCACTGTCCTGTGGAAGGGAGATGGAAATTGAATGATTGGAGAACATAAACTGAGGGCTCTCTGTCCCTTAAAACAACAACAACACACCACAGGAAGCAGTTCCCAGAGATGTGTTCAGTGCCTTCAGAACCTGCCCAGTACTTCGCTTCCTTTGAGAGTGAGTAGATTATGGAAATCACATGACTCAGAGGGTCTTGGCTCAGAGATTTTGGACCCATCTGGCAGCCAACCCATGTGGCCAAGAGTCAGGCTCTAGAGACCATACACTACATCACCCTTGGCCTTTTAACACTTAGATGATGGGACTTGCTCCTTACCAGGGAGGCAGGTCCTCTAACTACTAGGTCATTCACTGCCTGAGCTTTCCACTGCTTGAACCTCTGCGGGTCCATACCACATGCTCTCCCTTCCCATGACTATCTTCTATCCAGACACTGTGGCAGGGTATATACCAAAACTACCCGAGCCATGGCTGTGCCTTGCTACCAACCCCCTCATACAGCTCATTCCCAAACACTGAGCCCTCTCTCAAGATAATGCCTTGTTTTAGCAACCAGAAATAAGTGGAACAGAAGAATGTCCTTTTTTTCACTGAAGCTAGTCTTCTACACAGGAACAGACAAAACTGTCTGACCAAATCCCTGTACTGGATCTAAGGCTTGTAGAGGTATGGATAATCCTCCTGCTAGAATTGTCAGTGTGTGCCAGGACCTTCTGGCTTACTTTGTAATTGTATTTTTGGCTTCCCCTCCCTGTTGGATAGGGTAGACAGAGCTTCAGATGGTTTCTAATTTTCTCTGTCAATTTCCTTTTTTCTGTGCTTTTCAAGTATTTACCTCTTCACAATTCCTAATACTCTCTCTCCTCTCTCTCTCTCTCTCTCTCTCTCTAACTGACTCTTCTCAATCAGGCCACCAAATGTAGGATGCTCTAATCTACCAGCTTGCTCCGCCCTATTGATACATATGGCCTTCAACTTTTCTCTTTGCATTATTTTTAGTGTATCTCATCAATATAAGTATGTGGTTGGTTCTACTTTCATTTGAAACAAAACATTTTCTAATTTCTTTTGTGCTTTTTTT